ATATATATATATATATATATAAATAAAAACTTGCAGAGAAAATAATATGCATTTTAGAATTACCGCATTAAACATTTTAAAGCAATCATTCGATTTAAGTTGAAATGCACCAAGTAAAAAGGTTAATAACCCAATGGTTGCAAAATACAGGTGATAACTGTCATAATTTTTTCAAGTCAGATATATTTACATGATAGGGTGGTCAATAGCTTGTCAAAGTGTAGAATTTTGATCTGAATATTTAATGGAGTTAATGAGGTTTTGTAGAAGCATTAAGTTTTGTGCATACCTAACAGGAATTAATTAATTGGTGATTTTGTCAAATGACTCAGGAACTCAGTGCATTCCAGCTTTGATGAAATTCAGGGTTGAATGGAAGACCAAGATAAAGCATGAATGGATGGAGCTTCGCTTGTAAAACTATCACAGTAAACTAACTATTTACTGCAATAATGGCAGATTAGTTAATAACATTACCACCTTGACTTGTACTTTCCATTATTTTTCAAGATTAATTAAAACATCAAGACTTTTTCCCTTAAAAGAAATTTCATCATACACAACATATCCACCAAGAGAGTGATCAAGGCACCAACCTATTAAAGTGGGAGACCATGAATTCAAGGTGCACCTTAGCCATGAAAGCCAGCTAGGTGACTTTGGGCCAGTCACTCTCTCTCAGCCAACCCACTTCATAGGGGTGTTGTTGGTATTTTAGACATTTCTGGGTGACAGAATTCCAAGAAAAAATTAAATTTTAGGATAAGAATCCTTCTTTAGGATAAAGTAAGCCACATGGTAGATCATTCTCTTTCCCTTTTTAGATTTGGTATGGCTATGTGATTTCACCACTGTCCCAGAATTTTCACATAGTTAACTAGTTGCTTTTTCTGTGTCATTTCTTCACAGTATTACAATGTTTATTCCTGGTCTTCTAGGGTAGTTTAGCTGTTGACCAACTCAACCTGTCCTAAAATTCCGAGATTGAGAGTTTCCCACTGTAGTTCCACATGTAGCTGGAGGACACCAAGATGGGAAGATGTTCTGAGAAAACAGATTCTAACATGTTTTTGAAACTAAGCATCTAATTCAAATTATATTTCTCTTTGAAGTTGGTACTTCTGGCAAGGTGCCAGATTTTAATGGAACTTTGCTTACTTTAATATTATTGGGGCATGATCTACGTTAAGTGTAGAATTTCAATGAGAGTTTGTCATATAGAAAAATTTGCAATGTAGAGTTACTGAGCTAAAGAGAAGAAAGGGGAAAAGCAAAGCTAGGTGGGTTGGGGTTCTTTTTGGGCGGAGGGCTGCCATTTTAGGCAGAGGCCCAAAATTACAGAGTATATAATGTAGCCTCTAGAACTGTGAGAAGCTATCTTGAACAGATGAAATTTGGCTTTCGTTTCCTAAACTATTTCTCCAATAGAAATTATTTAAAAATATTTAAAAGTTGATGTCTCTCCCTTGGAAATCCATTAATTATACACATTGCATTTACTACCTTTGTAATTTATATTAATATAAATGCTGCCATTCTGCCCTTCATAAGGAAGAATGTGTATCTAAATATAGCCCCCAATGATCATTATTTTGTTTTCCACAGATAAAACATGCTGAGCACTAATGTGTCATCCTGAAAGCTTAACTTTTCTGGGATCATTAGCAAAATCTTTATTTTTACAAAATGATGTTCTAATGTAATTGCAAATTAGGCTATATAAAGAATCAGGTCTAATTCCCTAGGCGATGGAACATATTGGCTTCAGCATTGGATTGACTTCAAATCATAACCCCAAGAAATATCTACCTCCTGTTTTTTTTTGGTTTTTTTTAGATAGCTGGACCCATCTACAATTTCACTGGCTGTATAGAAGTTACAGAAATCAATAACCTGGGACCTTACACCTTTCCTAATGCTGTGGATAAAAACAATATTGACAACTGCAGGTAAATCAACTTCTATGTCTTTTTCAATCAAAATAAACTGATCCTTTACAATTCTCTAGGCTTTAGAAACTTTTTCTTGTTTTTTATTTGAATCTGAAGTACATGTACAAAAATTCTCTCTCTGTCTGTCTCTCTCTCTGTTTCTCTGTCTCTCTCTGTCTCTCTCTGTGTCCGACTGTCTGTCTGTCTGTCTCTCTCTCTCTCTCTCTCTCTGTCTCTCTCCTATGTGTGTGTGTGTGTGTGTGAGAGAGAGAGAGAGAGAGAGAGAGGAGAAAAGAGAGAGAGAAGGAGAGAGAAAGAGAGAATTCGCCAATTAAGGCTGATAATTTATATATTTGAGTTTCTGGCTAATGGAACAAGAAAATTCAAGATTTGCTTACAAAAGAAGAGGGAGGGAAGGAGGGAGGGAGGGAGGGAGGGAAGGAAGGAAGGAAGGAAGGAAGGACACCTTGCCTGTTGTTTGGTCAAACTTTCATTATATATTTCAAGGAAAGTGAAGGTGGTATTACCCATTTAAAGTGGAGTGGTTATATTAGTGAACACAGATGGCAGGAGATGAAAGGCATTGATATTCCCTTTTAATAGAAGCTGTCAAATCTATTTATTTCATCTGATTAGAAAATAAGTTTGAGATATTAAGAGTGATTCTGTAAAGCAGCAGTTACATCTTTCTAAAAGTTAAGTTATGAATTTGCAATTTGGCTAAGCCATGTGGCTAGTTCAGCTTTGTGCATGATTTCTTCTTGCCTTCACTTGTATGCTAGAACAATAAAAGTGATTAGATCTGAGGGGCTTGGCTGAAAAAAATAAAATGGACCAAGGGCTTCTATAGAGAGAGACGTCCACCCTTGATTTCCATTGCTTAAACTATGTGCTTATACAGACACTGAGGAAAATTGTCAATTTTATACAATGCATCTGTCAATAATCATTTTGTAAAGTAGGCAGACAGAGGCTCAGATTCAGAAAAACAAAGACAGTATTGAAATTTGATGATGAAATATAAAATTAATACAAAACATTTTTTCAGCTATCTTAAGCCTGAGTTACTGTATCGCTCTCAACATTATTTCAACATTATTCCCATATAGCTAACATCTTATTGTATGAGATTTCTTCAGTCTTCCAGCTCATGTTACTTTGTGCAGGAATACAGAAATATTTATAAATTCAAACTCTTACAGAACCAAAATCAGTGCATTTCAAATTGATTTTGATGTCTTGTCAACTATGAATTTAGATAGGCAAACATTTAAAGAAGTTATTATTAATATCATATAATTTTAAGAAGTTAAATTTAATATATTTCACAACTTTCATTTTCTGTTCATTTCTGTGCAACAGAAATGGAATTTCATTCTCATACTTTATGATACATTTTATATTGTACAATTATATTGTTGTTAAATAAAGCCTTTACAATGTTAAAAAAATCCCAACAGATTTGTTTGAAATCTCCAATGTGCTACACAATTCTTTCAAATTACAGTATGTGCAGACCTTGACTAGTTTAATAGAAATTCTAAAACTGTTTCTGAAGTGCTGATTCTTTTATGTTTTTTAGCTTCTTTTTTATGATGCCAGCTTTATCACCAGTGAAATTGGGTTTGCCTGATTCAGCATTAACTGCTGTCTTGCAGGTTTGAACCCATGCAAGCAAAAATACTGTATTAAGATGTTAATTCTTGGTTTAAATGGAACTGAAGTGAAATTTTATTGTTTGCTTTTGCAGCCATGTATGGCATTGAGCCTGCCATAACTAGAGAAATTAGATCATATCTTCAGATTTAACAGAAAATAGATAGATGATAGATAGAAGATAGATAGATAGATAGATGATAGATAGATAGATAGATAGATAGATAGATAGATAGATAGATAGAT